ATCATTCACCAAATTATGACAAGAACAAGCCTGTGGGAAATACAAAGATGGATGAATAAAATGTGATCCCAATCTTCCATCTGTCTGGTGGGTGAGAAAAATATGTACAACAATGTACACTTTCATATTATTTGAAATATTTATAAGAATGTATTCATGTGATTGAAACAATGAAATTAAAAGGAAAAAGGCCCAAAGAAATTGAATTTCTCCTACAAGTAGTTATTCAAAGCAAGAAAACAAAGTGATGAGATCTGTGAGAGAGGATCATGATGGCAATGTGGAGGAGAATGCATTGGAGTGGGAGACCACTTAGGAGGCTGTAGCTCTAGTCCAGGCAAGAGAGAACACATCTGAATTAGGACAAGGATGTGAGAATGGAGAAGATGAAATGAATTTAGGAGCACCTCAGAGGAGAGTCACCAGGAATTGGCAACTGATTAGACAAAGGACATTAAGGGGTCATACTTAAAGATCACTGAAGTTTGTGATATCAGAAGGTTTTGAAGAAAATGTGAGGTTAGAAATTCAGGTTTGAACATATGAATTTGAGGTACCTGTTGGACATCCAAGGAAAGAAGAATCCCAGGAGAGAAGTTAAGAGATTTGAATCATTGATAGTCAAAGCCATAAGATGGGATGCAGTACAAAGAAGAAAGTCAATATGAAACTTTAGATAAGAACTATCATTCATGGGCTGGTGAAAAAAGAAATGCCAACAAGAGAGATTGTAAAGAATTGGGTAGAAGGAGAGCCAAGACACAGAGTGCCTCAAAAGCCAGAGGAGAATTCTAGGAAGAGAGGAAATGATCAGGGACATCAAACACTGCAGAGTCAACTGGGAAGAGAACTAAGAAGAGGCTTTTAGATGTAGCAATTAAAAGAAACCATTATTGGCCATGAAAAGAATAGTTCCAGAAATAACTCTTTGTTTATTTGTCATTGAGCACACATAGGGACTGTACTACTTTAGTCCTTCATGGTTTCCAAAGCCCTCTTCCATGGTCATTGCTGAAAAAGCAGACTCTATAGAACTCTGTCTCCAAGCTCAGTGTAATGCTCTTCTACATCAGATAGGTCCTCAAACTACATTCAGCCCAACTGTACCTATCAGGGCTGCATATACCCTAAAACGGGTCCCCAACCCCCGCATGGCCTGTTAGGAACTGGGTCGCACAGCAGGAGTTGAGTGGCAGGCAAGTGAGCAAAGCTTCATCTGTATTTGCAGCCGCTCCCCAGTGCTAGCATCACCACCTCAGCTCCACCTCAGATCATCAGGCGTTCGAGTCTCATAGGAGCACCCTTCCTTGGTGCCAAAAAGGCTGGGGGCCGCTACCCTGAAAAACAGTCTCAGCAGTTTGGTAGTAGCATCTTGAGCAATGGCTACAAACAACTCCCATCATTGACCAAAACCATAAAGATTGCTTGCCTCTGATTTATCTGTGAGTAGGCCTCTGGCTACAGAGATGACATGGAAATTCAGCAAATGCCCAGTGAGCCGCAAGCTGGAAGAGTGGACAGGCAGTCAATTGCTATTAAGTAATAAAACATATTAAAGTAGATGAGCCAAGGAATCTGGAAAATGTAAAGATTGTATATAGTCCTTATTCAACTTTAAATGTAAATTACTTTGGCGATTGAAGCAAATTAATTCTTTTGAATGAATCATTCATAAAATTACTGTATACTATAAAATTTTTCAAAGTTCAGCATCTTTCTTGATATATTCATTATGACTTTATAACTTGTCAAAAACGTCCATTTTTTGTATTCTCGAGCCTGCGTTCTAGAAAAGATGATTTTAAAGAGAAAACAATTTTTACATGACTCTCAAAATAATTCACTGAATTATTAATGTTTAGAAGTGCACAAGAACTGTTAGAGTAGTTATTTATTTATATTTCACACCTTATTCCCAAAAGGATTTAAGTCAACTTAAAATTTTTGTAAAGTCAGTATATAGTTGTCTAATCATTTACATTCTGTGTTAGGGACTGGGGGATAAGGAAGAAGTTGTTTTTTCAGTTAAAGATTATAGGGGAAATGCAAGGGAATAAAGTTAAAGGAAATTTTGTTTGCTAACTTTCCAGGAGTCTAATTATGCAACAACACTTGGGCTCAAGGGTTAAGAAGAGTCAGGAAATCCTGGCTCCAAATGCCTAAAGATTGCTATATATCCATTTAATGACTTGCTACAGAAATCTCCAAGTCCCAAGCTGATATTCCTGTCTTCCAAGAGATACCAGACTTTGTATGATTTCTCCATTAGCACTTCTGCCTGCCAGCTACTTGCCATTTTTATATTTGTAATCCTCTAGTTCTCTAAAGCAAATTTAAAACATTCTGTTCCTTCTGCATATTCTTTGAGGCCTCAGTACACGTAAGTCAGATAAAGATTAAACGTACAGAGTACTCTACAACCAACAAAGAATGAAAACTAACATATTAAGAGCATGGGCTTTTTGAGATAAATTGCTTAGGTTCAAAGCCCTGACCTGCCAGTTACTTTGTGATCTTAAAGAAGGTACTTCAATTTTTCGTGCCTTCATTTCCTCATCCATAAAATGGGAGCGATAACTACATTCCTCAGCATCACTGTATAGTTTGAGATAATTCATGCTTAGACCATGTACATAGTAAGTATTCAGAGGTAGCACATGGTAAATGTTAGTTAATATTATAGTCATTATAACTGATTTTTTAAAAACGTGTTCATCTACAATATCCTACTTGAATTTTGCAGTAGTAACCTTTAAGGAACTTAAGTATCATTAGCCCTATTTTATAGCTAGATCCTAAGGCTTTGATGTTCAGCTTGCCAAAATCATTAACAAATATTCCTGGCAGAGCTAAAATTAGAACTCTGCTAGGGTTTGCAGTTAGACGGGGGAGTGAATAGGTTTCATCTAGAAGTTCTAAACAGTCGAAGTGGTTGCTCAGAGCCCTGTTTTTAGGATTCTCAAAGCAGATCCAAGCTCATTAAGAATGCCTGTTTATCAGCATCATAGGCTGTGGGCTCAGGAGCCTGGAGCAGGATTGCATTGTTTTTTTTTTTTTTTTTTTTTTTTTTTTTAAGATAAAGTTTCCCATTAACCTTAGTTTTTCTTTCTGAACTAAATTTTAGGTAAATTTGAACACATCTTATAATGAAGTTACTAATTTATAGAGTAAATATATATTTGTTAGAGGAGTATTACTATTTCTAAAATATTTTCTTACTAGGGCAATTGATAGAACAATTCTCTTACAAGCTGTTTATTACTCTTCTCATTTTCTCTCATATGAGCGCACAGATTGAAAAGTCTAGTCACCATTTACTTCTAACTTGAGGGTTAAGTTTTAAAACATACTAATGGCAAGTTGAGAATTGAAAAAACTTTATTGTCATATATGAACAAATTCTAGTCTCCTTGAAAGAGAGAAATTGTCTAGGATGTGTCATCTAAGTACCATTTTAAATACACACCAAAAAAAGTTAGGTTTCTGTGGAGTTGACATATCTGATCTGCCTCCTCTGACTTCTTGGTTTTATTTTGCCAATTTTATCTCATCGCCAGTATCTTTGGTCTTACTGTGGGGGAGCAACTTTATATTTTAAATGTTGACATCACCTAAGTGTGGGTAAAGCCAGAGTTGACTTCTGGTTCCACCTTCTCTGCAGGCAGATGCCTTAGGAAAAGCTGGCCCAAACTGCCCACATTCATCCAAGTGCCCAGGTTGGGCTTGATGTTGGAAGGCTTGGATATTCCTGTTTGTTTCTCTGTATGAACTACCTTTGAGAAACACCAGCAGATGAAACTCATGAAGTGTAAGAACCTGGTACTCCATCCCGTAGTTCTAAAGAGGTGAGGAAGGAATATACTAAATGGTTCTCTCATTTAGAACTCTGGATTTCACTGAACTATTAAAATCACCTAGTCCACCAGTTCTGGCTAAGACACTTTCAGAGAAACAGAGAATATACCACCTCCTCAAAGTCCTGGCAATCCCTGGACTATTCTGAAAATTTTTACTTTTGCTTTCTGTATGAAATAGCCAAGCAAGGAAGAAATCTGTCTCTCAGAAAATCACATTTCCCATTCCACACACTACTGCAGAATTGTTCTGCTCTGATTTTTTGAGATTTATTGATTTAAATAAGAGTTATTTTATTTATATTTGATGTACCCAGTGACAATGACCAAGATTTATAAGCATCTGGAAGAGCTTTGTGGGACGTATGACTATTTGGGGAAAAAATTTTCTCCCAGAAAGCTTTCCAGGAATGTAACTCATAAAGGTTCTGTGAAGCAAGATCTCTGGAGATAAAAAATATATATATATTTATGGAAAATAATGGGTTTTCATCTTTGTGATTAGATTAGACACTTTTTAAAATCATGCTTACTAATCACATTTCAGTGTAAATTACTTTTAAGAATCTATTATATGTAGTCAATCTTTTGGGGTATTTACTGGAAATGGTTAGAGAAAAAAGAGTGTTTCTTTTGAAGGTCAGATTAAGTGCATTATAAGATGTAATTCATCTATTTAGTGTTTTAAAAATAAAAATGTTAAGGTTTCTTAAAAAAGGTAGTCTTGTTTTTTTATATATTATCTTTTTCCAGGTGATGTAATCCAAACATTCGATATAAATTAAGTTTTTAAAGCAGTTCTTAGCTCTAAGCTTCTCTCCACACCTCCTCTCCCCCCCAGTGGAAAGACTTCATTTTCTTTTCTGAATATAATTTTGGTAGTTTTTGCTGACATGATGTAGAACATGTTATAGACTCAGGCTTTTAGACTCCTTTCTGTACTTAACAGTATGTTTGATCTTTCATCCTTTTTCTGAGATTTCTCTTCTGCTTTTATTAGTAAAGCCTTCTCTCTGGGAATATTGTTATATCAGAGAGATTTCATCTCTCTGGCATGACAAAATCCCCTCTGCCATGTTGAAGATGGAAACCCCCTTAGTCCTTCCCATTTCATGGATATATATTTAATATTTTTGGTTGTTTCAGAGTGACCCCAATTCTTGGCATTCAGAAGCATTCTCAAGAAAATGTGGTGTTTACACAGTTTATAGCCACCCTTCTAGAAGAATTACATTTAAAGAATGAAGACTTCGAAAGTTTAACCATCATATTTAGAACCAGCTGTTAACCAGACAGGTGAGTTGGATTGTGTTTTACTTTGGTTTGTTTTTCATTTGTTGCCTGTTGGGATTCTTTTTTCATATTGGAAATTTTGAAAACCAAGTACAGACCTCAAGATGTCTTTAAATTGCTAAAAAAAGATCATGCCGTCTCTTAGTTCTCAGCTTCCCTACTCACTTCCTGTCTCCATTGTTGTTACTTTGTGCCCCATCCTTGTTGTTATTCCTCCTGTATGAGCTTACCATGGTTAATTCTGTTTCTTGCAATCCAGGAATCTCCCACTATCACCTTCAAACTCAAACCTAGACCATCCTGCATGTCCCATCCAGTAAGTTTCTTCCCAGGAAGTAGCAATTAACCCAAATACCGCAATGATCCATTGAGAACATCCTCATCCTACTTCCCTCTTCACAGAAATCACCCCAGAACCCAGCCAATATCTTGGTAATCTCCTGCGCAGATAAGTGGGTGAATTTACAAGTTTTGCTTACTTGAATCCTAACACTTCTCCCAGATATGTAGCCCTCCTCTACTATCCCAAGTTCTTATCTCTTTCCAGACTGTCCATCAGAATGTCCCCTCCCTCATCCTGCCTTAATCATAACTCTTCATCTCTTCCTCCTCTTCTCATTTTACACACTCTTAAGTACTCAGGTAGCTTTTTAAAATTTTATTTCTTATTATTAAAGTATAGTTGGCATACAACAGTTTATTATTTTTAGGTGTACAACATAATGATTCAACATTTATACACCTTATGAAGTGATCACCACACTATGTCTAGTAACCGTCACCATGCCGAGTTATTACAATATTATTCATTATATTCCCAGTGCTATACACTACAACTCCATGGTTTGTTTATAACTGGAATTTTGTACCTCTTATTCCCCTTCACCTTTTTCATCCATGTCACCCCCTTCCTCCCCTGTGGCAATCGTGTTTATTCTCCATTTCTATGAATCTATTTTTGTTTTGTTTGTTCCTGTTTTGTGTTTTTAGATTCTACATATAAGGAAAATTATATGGTATCTGTCTTTCTGACTTACTTCACTTAGCATAATACTCTCTAGGTCCATCAATGTTGTCACAAATGGCAAGATTTCATTTTTATAAAAAGAATGGCTGAGTAATATATATGCCACATTTTCTTTATCCATTCATCTGTCAATGGATACCTAGGTTGTTTCCATATCTTGGCTATTGCAAATAATGTTTTCTTGGGATTAATACTAAGAAGTGGAATTGTTGGGTTTTATGATAGTTTATTTCTAATTTTTTGAAGAATCTTCATACTGTGTTCCATTTTACAATTCTACACAAGAGCTCCCTTTTCTCCACATCATTTCCAACACTTACTTCTTGTCTTTTTGATAACAGCCATTCTGACAAATTTGAGGTGGAATCTCATTGTGGTTTTGACTTGTATTTCCCTGATGATTACTGATGTTGAGCATCTTTTCATATGTCTGCTGGTCATCAGTAGGTCCCTCTTTGGAGAAATGTCCATTCAGCTCCTCTGCCTAGTTTTTAATCAGGTTTTTTTGTTGTTGAGTTGCATGAGTTCCTTATATATTTTGGATATTAACCTTTTATTGTACATATCATTTTTAAACAGCTTCTCCCATTCAGTAGGCTGTCTTTTTATTTTGTTGATGGCTTCCATCACTGTGCAGAAGCTTTTTAGTTGGATGAGGTTCCATTTGTTTATTTCTCCTTTTATTTCCCTTGACCATGGAGACATATCCAAAAAGATATTAAGACTGATGTCAAACAGTTTACTATGTTTTCTCCTAAGAGTTTTTTGAATTCAGATCTTACATTGATGTCTTTATTTTGAGTTTATTTTTGTATGATATACAAGAGTGGTTCAGTTTCTTTCTTCTTTTTTTTTCTTTTTTCTTTTTTTTTTTTTTTTTTTTTTTTATATATCCGTTCAGTTTTCCCAGCAGTGCTTATTGAAGAAACTTTGTATATTCTTGCCTCCTTTGTAGATTGACCACATAAGCAAGAGTTTATTTCTGGGCTTTCTTACCTGTTCCATTGATCTGTGTCTCTGTTTTTGTGCCAATGTCATAACTGTTTTGGTTATTATAGCTTTGTAGAATAGTTTGAATCAGGGAATGTGATACTCCAACTTGTTCTATTTTCTCAAGATTGTTTTGGCTCTTTGGGGTCTTTTGTGTTTCCATATAAATGTTAGAATTATTCTAGTACTGAGAAGAATGCCTTTGGTATTTTGAAAGGGATTGCACTGAATCTTTAGATCGCATTGGGTAGTTATGGACATTTTAACGATATTAATCCTTCCAATCCATTAACATGGTATAGTCTTCCATTTTTGTGTGTCCTCTTCATTTTTTTTTTCAGTGTCTTACAGTTTTCACAGTACAGGTCTTTCATCTAGGTTAAATTTATTCCTTGGTATTTTATTATTTTTGATGCAGTTGTGAATAGGATTGTTTTCTTAATTTCTCCTGACCATTCATTATTAGTCTATAGAAATGTAATAGATTTATATGTTAATTTTGTATCCTGCTACTTTACTAAATTTATTAGTTCTAATAGTTCTTTGGTAGAGTCTTTAGGGTTTGCTATATATAGTATCATGTCATCTGCAAATAGTAAACAGTTTTAATTCTTCCTTTCCAATATAGATGCCTTTTATTTCTTTTTCTTGTCTCGTTGCTATGGCTAGGACTTCTATATTGAATTAAAAATGGTGAGAATAAGCATCCTTGTCTTGTTTCTGATCTTAAATGAAAAGCTTGCAGCTTTTTACCATTGAGTATGATGTTAGCTATGGGTGTGTCATATGTATAGTCGTTATTATGTCGAGGTAAGTTCTCTCTATACCCACTTTGTTGAGAATTTTTATCATAAATGGATGTTGAATTTTGTCAAATGCTTTTTCTGCGTCTATTGAGATGATCATATGATTTTTATCCTTGGTTTTATTGATGTGGTGTATCACGTTGCTTGGTTTTCAGACACTGAACCAGCCATGCATCCCTGGAATCTCACTTGATTATGGTATATGATCTTTTTAATGTATTGTTGAATCTGGTTTACTAATATTTTGTTGAGAATTTTTGCATGTGTGTTCATCAGGGATATTAGCTTGTAATTTTTTTTTTTTTTGTAGCGTCTGTCTATTTTTGGTATCAGGGTAATGCTGGCCTCATAGAATGGGTTTGAAAGTCTTCCTCTTCAATTTTTTGGAATAGTTTGAGAAGAACATGTATTAATTCTTCTTGAAATGTTTGGTAGAATTCACCTGCTAAGCCGCCTGGACCTGAACTTTTGTTCGTTGGGAGTTTTTTTGATTACTGCTTAAATTTCATTGCTAGTAATTGGTCTGTTCAGATTTTCTGTTCCTCATTCAGTCTTGGAAGGCTGTATGTTTCTAGAAGTTTATCCATTTCTCCTAGTTCGTCCATCTGGGTAGCATATAATTGGTCATGGTATTCTTTAATGGTCCGCTTTGTATTTCTCTAGTGTTATTTTTCACTTCTCTTTTATTTCCGATTTTTTTGGGCCGCCTTATATACTTGATGAGTCTGGCTAAAGGTTTGTCAATTTTGTTTATCCTTTTAAAGAACCAGCTATTAGCTTTATTGATCTTTCCTATTGTTTTTTTAGTCTATATTTTGTGTATTTCCTCCTACTAACATTAGGTTTTCTTATTTCTCTAGTTCCTTCATGTGTAATGTTAGGTTGTTTATTTGGAATTTTTCTCGTTTCTTGAGGTAAGCCTGTATCACTATGAACTTCCCTCTTAGAACTACTTTGGCTGCATCCCATACATTTTGGAAGGTTGTATTTTCATTTTTATTTATCTCAAAGTATTTTTTTATTTCCTGTTTGTGTTTTTTCTGGTTTTCTTCTTGTAGTTGATTTCTAGTTTCATACAGTTGTAGTTGGAAAAGATGCTTGGTATGATTTCAGTATTCTTGAATTTTTGAGACTTGTTTTGTGACCTAATATATGATCAGTCTTGGAGAATGTTCCATGTGTACTTGTAAAGCCTGCATACTGTGCAGTTTGGGGATGAAATATTTAAGTTGATCTAGTCTAATGTGATGTTTAAGGCCACTGTTTCCTTGATTTTCTGTCTGAATGATCTATCTATCCATTGATGTAAGTGAGATATTAAGGTCCCCCCCCCTATTATTGTATTACTGTCAATTTTTCCCCTTATCTCTGTTAATATATTTTCTTTATATATTTATGTGCTCTTATGTTGGGTGTGTAGATATATACAATTATTATATCTTCTTGTTGGAATGCCCCCTTTATCATCATGTAATGCCCTTCTTTGTCTCTTTTTACAGTTTCTGTTTTAAAGTCTATTTTGTCTGATATGAGAATTGCTACCCTACCTTTCTTTTCACTTCCATTTGCATGGAATATCTTTTTCCATCCCTTCACTTTTAGTCTGTGTGTCTTTCAGTCTGAAATGAGTCTCTCGTAGGCAGCATATATTTGAGTTTTGTTTTTTTTAATCCATTCAGCCACTCAGTGTCTTTTGATTGGAGCATTTAGTCCATTTACATTTAAAGTAAATATAGATAGAGATGTACTTACTGTCATTTTATTAATTATTTTTGTAATTCTGTTCCTTTCTTTTGATCTCTTCCCTTGTAGCTTGCTGGCTTTTTAGTGTTTTGGGGTTCTTTGTTTTACATGTACTTTATCTAATTTTTTGGTTTACGGTTACCATGAGGTTCATATATACCCATCTATAATAGTCTGTTTGAAGCTAATAGGTGTTTATGTTCAAATGCATTCTAAAAGCATTGCATTTTTACTCTCCCTCCATGCTTTGATTTTGACGTCATATTTTAGATCTTTGTTTTTTATCCCATTTATTGTAGTTATAGTTAATTTTGCTACTTTTTGTCTTCATATAGCTTTTTAAGTGGCTGATTCGGTGCATGATATATTTGCCTTTACCTGCAAGATTTTATCTTTCATGTATTTTCTTATTTCTTGTTGTAGCCTTTGTTTTCTGCTTAAAGCTGACCCTTTAACATTTTTCTTAAAGCCAGGTCAGTAACGATGAACTCTGTTAGTTTTTGCTCATCTGGGAAACACTCTCTCTCTCCAATTCTGAATGATAACTTTGTTGGGTGTATTATTCTAGGTTGCAAGTTCCTTTATTTCAGCACTTTTATATCCTGCCACTCCCTTCCGACCTGTAAAGTTTCTGCTGAGAAATTAGCTGATAGCCTTATAGGATTTCCCTTCATTTGGAACATGTTCTTGTCTTCCAATTTTGACTTTGTGTTTCTCCCTATGAATTAGATGCAATACGTATCTCCCCCAATCTTGAAAAAGTGGTCTTGTGTAGAAACAACCTCTGTGTAGACTGTATGCTGGGTTTTGGCAAAGTGGTTGGAGTCAGGGTGGGTACCTACAATGCTGGCTGGCAGCTGGGAGAAGCATGGCCCAGTGTACACATATACATGCAGTGACTCTGTTGTTCTGGTATGGCAATTCAGTGCCTGCACGCTTTGGCACCCTGTTGATCCTGTCAGCACGAGTTCTGGGTGGGGCAGCACCCCATTGATGCAATTGTCCACAGCCAGAGCAGAGGTCCAGGCTGGGTAGTCCAGTCCACACATACCAGCAGCCTTGTAGGTCTGCCAGAACACCTACATAAATCTCCCACCTGCACTATCCAGGTGGAGGGAGAATGTAAACAATGGCATTCACCAGCACCTCTGATCCTTCTGTTGTCTCTCAGGAGGAACTGCTCTAAATGTAGGTGTATATGTGGTATGGTCATGAGAGGGAGCGATTTAGCTTCCTCCTATGCCACCATTTTGGACCCACCTAATAGGTGTCGGTTTAATGTTATGATTGAAGAAATTCATCCTAAACTACAAATGAGACCCTCTCAGGGAACTTTTTTTTTTTTTAATTTCCAATTTTTAAATTATAAAAGCAATATAAGCTTTGTATAAAAGTTAAAATTAATACAGAACTGCATAATTTTAAAAAGGAAAATTCCCCCTCACCTCTGCCTTCAAGGCTGTCTTCTTTCCAGAAGCATACTTGATATATATCATTTTATATTTTATTTGAAAGTCTATAAGAAAAACTTCAAGCAATTCTTTAAATATATGAAAATGATATTTGAGAGAGGTATTTTGGCAGGCAAGAAAGTGCAGTTTCCCTTGAACCTGCTAGAAACTAGAATATAAAGAATCAGCACTGTAAGTGCCTCCCAACTTGTGACCTTTTCAAATGTTCCCATAAAACAGTTTTTTGGGAGTAAGCTCAGATTAGCCTATGTAAGCATCAATTCAAAAGCCCTTCTAAGAAGGTAGTGAGGTTGGAGTTTATTTTATTGGGCTTCAGATACCGACAATTGAACTAATCATTCATTAGTTCATGACACCCTATCTTTATTGAATGAAAGGGTTCTTTTTTTCCAGATAGACTAAAAACAAATAATGCCTAACCAGAGGTCCTTTCAGACCTCCTTCAATGTATAGGTAGCAATTAATCATTCTAATTAGCATATTTAAAACATGTAAACAGATGGTATTAAAGGACTTTCAACAAGATGTTTTAAGTCATCTTAGGAGTTCCCTGTGACCACTGTTTATGTAAGTAATCAAACCCTTTCCCAGGCTTTGTCAGTATTATAAGGAATTCTGAATGAATTGGCCTTATGATCTAATTTTCCACATGAGAAATGGCAATGGTTGTGAGTACACAGATCAATTTTGTTCTGTTTGCATGGTTTTTGTAAGCTATAAGTTCATTTAAACATCAAGGTTTTAATGTCTATTAACCTTCTCAAGATTAAATTACTACTACCTAATATATGTTAATATGCTTTCAGTTACAAATAATGGGGAAAAAATCCAGCCCAAACTAATCTTTCTTATGGTGCTATATTATCTTTTGCTGCTTAACAAATTACTCCAAAACTTAGTGACTTAAAACTTTTTTTTTTTTAATCTCAGTTTCTGTGAGTCAGGAATATGGAGATAGTTTAGCTTAGGGCTTCTGACCCAATCTCTCATGAGGTTGCAATTAAGCTTTCTGCTAGGGCTGTGATGTCATCTGAAGGCCCAACTGGAAGAAGATCCCCTTTCAAGCTCATCTGTGTGGTTGCTGGCAGGATTTAGTTCCTCAGACGTGTTGAACTCAGGGCCTCAGTTTCTCACTGGCTGTCGTCTAGAGACTGCTTACAGTTCCTTGCTACATGGGCCTTTCCGTAGTGCACCCCACAACCTGGCATATGGCTTCCCTCAGAGTGAGCAAGTGAGACAGTACCCAAGATGGAAGCCACACTCTTTTTGGAGCTAAGCTCAAAAGCGATATCCCAGCATTTTTGCTGCTTTAACCATGACTGGTTAGAAACTCATCACTTTGCCCACACTCAAGTTGAGAGGATTGTGTAAGGGCATGAATATCAAGAGGTAAGGATCATTGGGGGCCCATCTTAGAAGCTGTCTACTACTTTGACGATGTCAAAGTTGCTTAGTAGGTCCCAGCTTTACATATTGTATACTATACTGTCCCAAGTGAGAGTCTTGAACTTCACACTAATTGAAGACACCCCTAAACCAATCCATATGGCCATAAGAATACTCCGAGCTAACCCTTTCGTTCTGGGAAGGGATGTTTGGGGAGTCAGAGAGAGGCTTTTCTTATTGACCTAGACTCATCAAGGCCTAATCCTTGAGCTGAATATGACCTTGGGTGTATTCCACCCAAATCATTATTGCTACATAATGAGGGAAAATGAAACATATTGGGAAAGCAACACAATGTTCCCAAAACCTGGTAAAATAGGTATTTTATTCAGACTGTCCTTTTTTGCTTCACAGGTATAATCCATGAAGAATGAATTAAAAATGAACTATTCATCATTTCCGGAATTCTAGCCACAGTGATGGTCTGGTGGTAACTGATAACTAGCTTTGTTTCCAGAAAAATCTTTACCTTTTTAGATTTCAACCCCCTGCTTTCTCATCTCTTACCTGTACAGAGTGACTTCCCGAGATAGAGGAGAACCATTATCCCAACAGAGATAACCAAGTCCAGCATCTCTGGCTATAAGACATACTATTTTTATTTATTTGGAAATAAAAGTTGAAGTCTTAAATTGAAGCTTAAATCAATACTCAAGAAAATACGACCTTGTATTTTTTCTGGATGATTCCAGCCATCACATCACTTGACTGAAAAATTGAGAAAAGTCTTATTTTGGCCACATAATCAAAACTCTAGATTCTAGTAAAGAAGTTAATAAATACAATCTAAGATAAAGTCCTTTGGAAGTCTAGTCATTATTCTTTTAAAGAAGCTGACTGTGCTAGAATGTGATTAACCTCACAAGTCCAAAACAAGAGTATCTGAAAACTTTCTGGACTCGAAGAAATTAAAAAAAAAAAAAAATGAATCTGTAGTTTGTTTTGAAGAGAGATAATCTCTAGAATTTACACTGCTTCAAAATGGATATGAAGCATGCAAGTAAGCAGGGCCTCCAGGGTAGCTGAGGCTGCGGAGGGCCTCAGACAGACAATTTGAGGAGCTTTACAAGGGGGCCAAGAAACAAAACGAGATCTGTACTCTTGGACAGTGGAAAAAATAACAGCCGCTAAAAGCAAAGCCATGAAAAGGGGCCAGAAAGCAGCCTGGTGGAATAGAGAGCTCAACAAACAGGCAACTACAAGCTCTGCAAGGTCACAGGCTACATCAATATACAAAAATCAATTGTGTTTTGTATACTAGCAATGAAAAATCCAAAAATTAAATTAAGAAAACAATTCTATCCACAGTAGCACCAAAAGAATGAAATATTTAAAAATAAATTTAACAAAGGAAGTATAAGACTTGTACAATGAAAACTATACAACATTCAGAGAAATTAAAGATATAAACATATTCCATATTCATAAATTAGAAGATGCAACATTGTTAAGGTGATAGTCCTCTCCAAATTAATCTATAGATCAGTGCAATCCCTGTCAAAACCCCAACAGGCTTTTTTGAAAAATTGTCAAGTTGATCCTAAAATTTCTAGAGAAATGCAAAGGATCCAGAATAGCCAAAACAATTCTGAAAATGCAGAACACTTCCTGATTTCAAAACTTACTACAAATTACAAATCTACAGTATTCAAGACAGTGTGGTATTGATATAAAGATCAGTGAAACAGAACTTTAGAGTCCAGAAGTAAGCTTTCATATTTATGGTCAGTTAGTTTTCGACTAAGCTACCAAGGCATTTCCATGTACAAAGGATAGTTTTTTCAGCAAACGTGCTGAAATATTTCAATATCAGATGCAAAAAGGATGAATTTAGACCCTTACCTCCTACTATATGCAAAAATAAATTCCAAATGGATCAGAGACCTAAATGTTAAGCAGAAACTATATATCTTTTAGAAGAAAACAAGATAATACCTACATGGCATTGGTTTAGGAAAAGAGTTCTTAGATAAGATCCCAAAAGTATAGTGTATAAAGGAACACATAAGTTGGATTTCATCAAAATTTTAAACTTCTGCACTTCAAAAAAACATTAAGAAAATAAATTGATAAACCACAGACAGAAAATATTTTCAAATTATATTTTATAAAGGACTTATATCCAAACTAAAGAATTCTTAAAACAAATATGAGACAACTCACTTTTAAAATGGGCAAAACACTGAATAAACATTTCAGCAAAGAACATATACAAATGGCTTAGCATATGAAAAGATCCTAACCATCACTAGTCATTAGGGAAATGCAGGTTAAAACCAAAATTAGATACCACTTGACATACTATCATAGTGTTGGTGAGATGTGGAGAAACGAGCCCTAATCCATTGCTGGTGGGAATGTAAAACTGCAGCTATTTTGGAAAACAGTCTCATGGTTTCTTAAACATGAGTTTACCATATGACTAAAAAATTCCACTTGGTGTTCCATCCCAAAAGAAATGAAAACGTTCACACAGTCTTGCAGGCAAATGTTCATAGCAGCATTAACCATATTTGGGAAACAACCCAAATAAGCGTTAACTGGTATATAGATAAAGTCCAAAAGGTACCAGAAGGAAAAGTGAGCAGGAGATTGAGACCTATTTGAAATAATGACAGAAAATTTCCCTGACCTGTCAAAGGAAATAGACAAGTCCAGGAAGTACAGAGAGTCCCAAATAAGATGAACCCAAAGAGGTCCACATCAAGACACATCATAATTAAACTGCCCAAGGTTAAAGACAGAATCTTAAAAGCAGCAAGAGAAAAGCAGTTACCTACAAGGGAGCTCTCATAAGACTGTCAGCTGATTTCTCAACAGAAACTCTGCTGGCCCAAAGAGATTGGCACAAATATTCCAAGTGATGAAAAGTAAGGACCTACAACCAAGACTACCCAGCAAGGCTATCAATTAAAATTGAAGGAGAGATAAAGAGCTTCCCAGACAAGAAAAAACTAAAGGAGTTAATTGCCACCAAACCATACTACAAAGAAGTCTTAAAGAGACTTCTTAAGAAGAAAAAAAGACAAAAAATATGAATAATAAAATGGCAGTAACTACATATCTATCAATAATCACTTTAAGTGTAAATAGATTAAATGCTCCAATCAAAAGACATAGGGTAGCTGGATGGATAAGAAAACAAGACCCGTGCATATGCTGCCTGCAAGAGCCCCACTTCAGATCAAAAGAAACAGGCAAAGTAAAGGGATCTAAAAAGATATTTCATGCAAATGGAAATTTTTAAAAAAGTTGGGGTCGCAATACTTAGACAAAATAGACTTTAAAACAAAGGCTATAATAAGAGAAGGACATTTCATAATGTTAAAGGATCAATCTAACAAGAGGCTATAACCCCTGTAAACATTTTTGCACCCAACATAGGTGCACCTAAATATATAAAGCAAGTATTGACGGACATAGATCGACAGTAATACAGTCATAGTAGGGGACTTTAACACCCCATTGACATCCATGGATAAGTCTTCCAGACAGAAAACATGGAAACAGCGGCCTTAAACGACACATTAGACCAGATGGATTTAATTGATATTTTTAGAGCATTTCACCCCAAAGCAAAAGAATGTACATTCTTTTAAAGTGCATGTGGAACATTTTCCAAGATAGATCACGTGTTAGGCCACAAAACATGCCTCAAGAAATTTAAGAATATTGAAATCATATCAGGTGTCTTCATCAGCCATCAATGGCGTGGAACTAGAAATCAGTTACAAGAAAGAAATTGAAAAAAACAAACAGAAGGAAGCTAAATAACATGCTACTAAACAATGAATGGGTTAACAATGAGATCAAAGAAGAAATCAAAAGATACGACAATGTTGAGACAAATGAAAACATGATGACCCAAAATCTTTACACAATGAAAAGCAGTCCTAAGAGGGAAATGCATAGCAATGCAGGCCTTCCTCAAGAAACAAAAAAATCTCAGTCTAACCCTACACCTAAAGGAACTAAAAAAAGAACAGCAAACAAAAAGTGAGAAGGAAGGCAATAATAAAGATGAGAGCAGAAATAAACAAAATAGAGTCTAAAAGAAGCAGTACAAAAGATCACTGAAACCAAGAGCTGGTTCTTTGAAAAGATAAAATTCATAAACCTTTAACCAGACTCATCAAGAAGAAGAGATCCAAATAAGTTAGAAATGAAAATGACACCTGACACCACAGAAATACAAAAGATTATAAGAAAATACTACAAATATAAGACCCTTAGATATGCTGCTTACGAGAGACTTCAGATCAAAAGACACAGACTGAAAGGGATGGAAAAAGATAGTTCATGAAAATGGAAACAAAAATGCTGGGGGGTAGCCATGCTAATAACCAGACAAAATAGATTTTTAAACAAAGGCTATAATAAGAGACAAAGAAGAATCCATATGTTCATTGCAGCATTATTTACAGTAGCAAAGATATGGAGGCCACCTGGGTGTCCATCAATAGATGGATGGATAAAGAAGAAGTGGTACATATATACAATGGAATATTACTCAGACATAAGAGTGAAATCTTGCCATCTGCAACGACATAGATGGACTTGGTATTGTACTGAGTGGAGTAAGACAAAAAGACAAATGTTATATGATTTCTCTTATGTATGGAATCTGAAGAACAGAATAACAGAAACAAGATCATAGATAGCATTTTGATGGTTGCTGGATTAGGGGTGGATATGGGCGAAGGTGGGGATTAAGAGTTACAAATTGGTAGTTATAAAAGTATCATGGGAGTTACAAATTGGTAGTTATAAAAGTGTCATGGGGGTGTAGAGTATAGCATGGGGAAAATAGTATTGTAATAACTATGTATAGTGTCTATGTATACTGGATTTATCAAGGTGATTGCTTCATAAGTTATATAAATGTCTAAGCACTATTGTACACCTGAAACTAATACAGTATATCAACTCTAATTGATATATATTTTTTAAAAAGATATAATTCAGTTAGAATTTTTTTAAAAAAGTGTTTCCTTAAGATCAGGGAAAAGACAGGGATGTCCACTTTCATCACTTTTTTCAACATAGTCTTATTGGAAGTCCTGGCCACAGCAATCTAACAAGAAAAAGAAAAGGCATCCAAATTGAAAGGAAGAAGTAAAACTGTCATTATTTGCAGATGACATGATACTATAGAGAGAACCCTAAAAGATTCCACCAAAGCACTTTTCGAACTGAAATTGAATTCAATAAAGTAGCAGGATACAAAATTAACATTCAGAAATCAGTTGCATTTTTATACACCATTAACATTCTCAGAAAGTGAAATTAAGAACACAATCCAATTTACAATTTCATAAAAAAGAATAAAGTAACTAAGAATAAATTTAACCAAGGAGATAAAGGACCTGTACTCAGAAAAGTATAAGACACTGAAGAAAGAAATTGAAGAAGATACAAATAAATGGAAACATAGTGTACTCTTGGATAGGAAAAAATAACATTGTTAAAATGTCCATACTATGCAAAGCAATCAATAATGCAGTGCAATCCCTGTCAAAATACCAATGACATTTTCCACAGAACTAGAAAAAATAATCCTAAAATTTATACAGAACCACAAATTTATTCAGATCCTGAATAGCCACAGTACTCCTGAGGGAAAAAAAGTTGGTGTCACACCACCTGATGTCAAACTATACTACAAGGCTATAGTAATAAAAACAGCATGATACAGGCATAAAAAGAGACACATAGAGCAGTGGAACAGACTGGATGGTCAATATGTGACAAAGGAAGCAAGAATATACAATGGAGTAAAGACAATCTATTCAATAA